GGTCCTGGGTGGGTGAAGTGAAGGAGGGAACGGGCCGTGGGCGCCTCGATGGGCACCGGCTGGAAGAACGAATGGAAAGCAAGAGGCTACGCTTCTGCCCGGCCTCCCTTTCCCCACTGACCCCGCGAGGAGAGGAGGCGGGGACCTCCGGGCGGGAGGGCACCGCTGAGCCCCAGGCCGTTCCTTCCGTGGGGCGGCCCCGCGGCCTGAGTGAACGAGTGGGTGGGGGAGTTATGAAGAACACAAACCATTCAGAGGCCAAGAATAATAAATCGGATGCCCTGACATGTTTAGTTTAGGCCCTTGTACCCCCTGCTACGCGATCCTGAGGGAGCTGAGGCCGGGCCGGAGCCCCTGGCGCTCCGGCCCAGCCACGTTTTTTAAAGGCAATTTTCAGGTGAATCAAACCTTGTCTGGCTGAGGCGAGCGGTACAAAGGGAGCTTTCAGGGGACCCTCACGCCCAGGGGCAGGGCAGAGACAAACAGCGGCCGAGAAGCGATTACTAAATTTCCACCTCACACAAGCCCGTGTTGTATCCTCTTCGTTGCCCCCGCGCCTGCCCCAAGGGCCTTCGCTGGCCAGACTCTCGGAGAAGGGCTCCGTGCGGGACCAGGCGCGGTCGCTGGTCGTGGGCTGTCTCACCGCGGAGGTCCGAGGGGCAAATGCAATAGTATCGCTCTGTGTGCCCTGCGAGCTCCTGGAATGGTTTCTTCCTCCCTCTCTCCACCAGAGCCCCCAACGATGGAGCCAGTGTCGCCCCTGGCTCTGTGGTCTGCGAAGAAACTCCCCACGCAGGCATAGATACCAGGACAGCGAGCGCGCGGAGCCACCCGACAGCAGGGAGAGGTGCCACTCTCTCATCTGTCCCCTCATCTTGGGAAGATGCCACTTTTCAGACAGAGCAACCCGGGTTGAGGCCGCCCTGGGGATGCACGTTTAGCCTCAGCTGTCACAAGCCAAACTTGCAAGTAACAGGATAAGGGGCTGCAAAGAGGCAAGCGTGAGTCTTTAGGGGGAACACCACCTTCAGTATGTGTCTGTCTCAGGGGACACACTTAAAAGGGCCTGAGATAGTAAAGGCGCTCACGTGTGACAGGCAAGAGAAAAACTGGAAACCTGGCACCTCCGGCTCCCAGCGGCCGAGGTCCGGCTGTCTTCAGACCCCGGGGTGTGGGACGTCGGGCGGCTCCGCACACGCAGACACGCAGATCCCCAGCGCCTGGCGCGCGCTCAGCTCCACTCGTGCGTGTCGGGGAAGGAGCGGCGCAGGCGGCCGCTCGCTCGCTCTATGGCCGGCCGGCGGGCACTAGGCTACCTGAGCGCAGCATGAGGGCCCAGCCGGTGTCTCCCTCGAGAGGCGACAACGCGAAGTGAGCTGGTGCCGCGGCCGCGCCTCTCTCCCGGCGTTTACTCAGCGGTCAGGGGCATCCCACACGCCGGGCGTCCCAGCTGCCTGGGGCTCGAGGCTCCAGTGCGTGCCTCAAAAGGAAAGCACAAGTCCCTAGAGAGAGTCTAACGTAGGACCCAACATTCCCGCGAACCTGAGGGGGCGGGAGCCACGTTAGCGCTTGGCCCGCCGGTCTCCCGCACCCGCTAGGTGCCAGGGAAGACAGGGGCGCCGAGAGGCAGGCGTGCAAGATGCCGTCAATACCACCAGAGTCCCAACTGTTATTTCCTCTGGCAGGCGCGGGGTGCAGGGCGGGAGCCCGGCTGCCACTGGGAGCAGACTCAGGACAAGCAAAGCGACCCGACAGGTGAACGCGGCGGGAGGGAGCAAACGCGTAAAAAACCCTGCACTTACTTCTTCGCTGGCGCCTTCCCCGGGAGGCGTTTTGGCTGCCGATGTATTCCATAAAGTTCAAAATGATAAAAAACCAAGAAATCAGTCGCAAGTGCATAGTAACCCAGTAATGTTTCCCTTCCTTTTCTCCTTTTTCTTTTGATGGTTAATTATATTTAATGTTTTTGAGAATATACGTAGGTGTTAGGCGAATATATCATGGAGAACCCGAGCAGCGGGACTTCTCCACTCCGGTCCGATAGGCGTGCTGTGATGGCAAGCGAAGCGGGGCGGGTGGACAGGGAAACCAACTATTGTACTTTCAAATTGTCCGAGCACTGAGCTGCGGCGGCTCCGCTGGGGTGGCTGTCATCGCCGCGAGCGAGGGTTCCAGGAGCCGCCCGGGCGGCCGCAGGTAGCATGGTGCGCGGCGGCGGCGGCGGCCGCGGGCGGGATTCCGGG